AGTAGTACTAGTAGAAGAAGAAGTAGTAGTAGTAGTGGTAGTGGTAGTGGTAGTGGTGGTAGTAGTAGTAGTAGTAGTAGTGGTAGTGGTAGTGGTAGTGGTAGTAGTAGTGGTGGTAGTAGTAGCGGCAGCAGCAGCAGCAGTAGTACTAGTAGTAGTGGTGGTAGTGGTAGTAGTAGTGGTAGTAGTAGTAGTAGTGGTGGTAGTTGTAGTAGTAGCAGCAGTAGTAGTAGTACTTATAGTAGTAGTGGCAATGAGACTAATCGCAATATTGGCAATATTGAGAATAGTGACGATAACCAACAGCAATACTATGAATTATGTCAGAATTCTGGTTCTTCCTATCGGTATTCGTAGATTAGTGTAATAGCAGGTGTGGAACAACCGGCCTAGCAGGGCTGTGCTTCCAACATGCCAAAGCAAGCCATGGTACACTGTCTTGAGTTTTGACAACAACTGAAGATATTTGTCACAGCGACAAGAGAACTCTTCATGACACTTGGGGGTAGCTATTTCCAAGCGCTCAGGTCACAAATGTTACAACTAAGCCTCAAGAACTATGCGTGTGCAGCGTCGATGGCAGGCACGGTCGAGAATATGCAATGTAAGACTGTAGTTGCTTGGGTACTGAGATAATGCAACAGGGCATGGCTTGAGAAGGACCGTGGAATCTTGCAGCACCGCGGTTCCCATGAGGTTCTTACTCCCCACGGCCTTGCTGGCCCTGGTCACTGTTAAAACCATAGGCCACAATAGAGTGCGCAATCGAGATCGCACTCCAGCAAGCACACCTCACTGGCATCACACTGTCGCTGCTTGAATCCATGCAGGATGTGGCAAGGAAGCTCTGACTGGTGCAGCACCTTCAATCTTGAACTGTCGTTGTTGACACCAGAATTACCCCTGCCGACTCCGGCAGGCATAATGAAGCAACATTTTCGAGTTATCTCTCTTAAACATCTCTCTTAAACTGTGACAATTAGCCATGCATAATCCACATTTTCACAATGGAAGAAACTCTGAAAAGTACAGGGCTTTGACCATGCCCGGTTCGTCCCTCTTCAAGGCCAGGTCGATAAGGCCAGGTACGCCGAAGGCATGGATTTTGGCCAGCTCCCCGAGGTCCAAGTCACTGCATCAGCAGAATGCTGGCCAGCTTCACCTGTCTTTCGATAGCCAACTACCAGAATCACATAAAAAGCCACAGTCCGATCAACACCCGTACCTGTGCATGTACAAGTGCATGATGGAATTTTGCTACAAGTAGCGGCAATGGCCAAAGCCTGTGAAAGCCATAAATGCCCGCAGAGAAGGAGCACAGCGTACTGCGTCGAACATGCAATGCATGTCAATTGTTAAGAAACATGTGCAAGTGACCGGCTCCGTATCTAGATCGGAGGAGCTATAGGTTCATCCAAGAGTGCGTATAGCAGAATGGTACCATCTACTTTACAATATAAAGTTAATTGACAAGGGGCCGGCATGAGCTCGATCGGCCTGTCCGCCCCCTGCTGCATAAATGCTGCCAGCTCGTACCTCTGGAGCTGTGATGGCTTTCTTAAACTTTCATGAATGAAGTAGGGGCACACAGTTTAGGAGTCTTGCAAGAAGAGACTGTATGGAGGCTCACCCTTTTCGGACCCATTGTCGGATACTGCGGAAAGCACCCCTTCGGAACTGCGTCAAGGCTTTATGACGGAGGCTTGTGGTTTAATTGTGTGCTTTTTCAATCAGCGAAAGAAAGTGAAAGAAGCGAGAAAAAGCACAAAGCAAACTAGAGAACCACCCCCAATACACCTATTTCGTTCCTGATGTGTGCTTGTAATAAGAGAAAACACGCACTACTTGCCACTCCGTTTGCTTTTCAATTATTGTCACACAAAAACACTCACTACATCGTATCAATAAATGATGAGCCTACAGACCCAATTTAGTTCTCTTTTAGCTCAGACTGTTTGGGCGTGCTTTTGCCAACTATGCCGCCCCACATTGCGACACAATGAAACAGCAGGATCGACGTTTGCCACCGTAGTAGCATGGAGATTCTCTGAGTCAGCACCAAATACAACTGCTAGGACAACACGCGGTGTGTAAGCACAGCGCAGGGGTGACTTTGACTCGAGGCTCAAGGGATCTCTGGTTGCGCTGATAGTGTTCACTTCGAACGGGTTGACAAAAAGGCACGACGGTGTTTCACCCAAAACCTTTGTAGTAAATTTATGTTGCGCCACCTCCTGGGGCACATGCTGAAGCAACTCAAAAGTCCTGTGACCTATGTAGAGTTTACTCGGCTGTTTAAAGCCGCGCCACGTGCACCAAAGGCGGGTTGCCCAACGTGGCGTCCACAAGACCGTGAGCTTGTTCGACTTCTCTAGGAAGCCGGCTAATCCTGGATTCTGCTTCTGCTGAAGGATCTTTGCGATTGGGGGCGCATGTTGCGGCTGCAAGAAACGGTGTTCGAATGACCATGACATAAACCGGGTCATATATCTGTACATGTATATAACACCATAACATAGGCCAGTATATGTATGTATACAAACAAATAAACAAATAAGTGTAAATGTAAGTATACATGTACATGTAAATGTGTGAAATAACATTACAAACATAGAAGTATATGTGGCGAGGACTTTAACTACGCTTTATTTGGTCAAGGTCTGGCTCTTCTCTATAATGTTGGGGCCTGGGTTGTGCGAGTGGCCGAAAGGGAAAGAGTACCGGGGTCAGTAGAGCTCTCTGTACCTTAAGGTCCTTTATTTATAGTTTATCAGCGTGTAAAGGTCACGGGCCCTACGGTCTACCGGGGTTCCAAGGGTTGGGGCTTATGAGGTTTTAGATGTTTTAGGGTTTATCACAAAGTCTTCCCGTCCCTCTCGCGCCGGGAACCATCAAGAACATGTTTTGTGTCTCTCTCTCGTTCTTTTTCTTTCTCTCATCCTGTTCCCCTTCCATGCCTATCCACTCCGCCCTTTGTCAGGAAGACACAGAGGATGAAAATCATGACAAAAGAATAGGCATGGAGATGGACGAGGTGAACTCTTCATTCTCGCGTGTCTCCCTCTCTCCTTCCTTTAACTGATCATTATTCTCTTTCTTTTCTTCTCGTCTTCTGCTTTAAATGACAATGGTAACACGAAGGAAGGGCAAAGGGACGACGTCAGTTCCTCGCGACGTGGTTCGCCTTTTTCTTGCATCTCACGTTGTCTCTCTCTCTCGCTTCTCTTTCTCGCTCTCGCTCGCTTCCCCTCTGCCATGTCTTGCGCTCTCATCTCTCCCGTCTTTTTGAATGACAAAGGAAAAAGCAAGGGAAGGAGCAAAGGCTTTGCGAATAAAAGGAAAGAAGAGCAGACAACAGAAAGAGATGGGGGAAGATGGTTCGGAGAAGAAGGGAGAATTCCTCCGCGCAGCTCTCTCACTTTCTCGTCCTTTGCCTTCTTCCTCTTCTCTTCTCCTGTTCTTCTTCATAAGGAAGGAGAAATGAAAAGGACGGAGAGTTCAGGGCGTGCAAGGGGCACTCTTTCTCATCATCTCATTTTTCCTTGGGTGCTTTGATCTGTATTTTAAACGTTCTCCCACTCTCTGTCCCGTCGCTTGCCTTATTCCTTCTCCTGCCTTTCCTGCCTCCCGTTCTTGTCCGCCCATCACCCAGAAGGAAGAAAGACGATTCACATGGAAGAAGAAAAGGCAGCAAGAGAAAAGAAGAAAGAAAGAAACGGAGAGAAAATCCGAGAAGGGCAGAAGGAGAACGAGAGCCATCAGGAAAGACAGATAAAAACAAAGAGAGAAAATAAGAGGGAAAGATAGTCAAAGAGAGAGAGAGAGAGCGAGACAGATGCAGTAAGCAGTCAACAGTGGCTTGCCTTCCGGGTCTGTTCATTCTTCGTTCTTTTCATACCTCACAGTCTCATTGGCGATAAACCAGGAAGAGCTTGTGGAGGAAGACAAATGAGAAGTGTTTTCCTCTTCACTCACCTTCCTTCCTCTCCCACCATTCTCCGCTCTCCTTTCTTTAGTTTTCTTGTCTGGCGGAAAGGTGGGAAGCAGGAAGGAAAGGGGAGAAGGGAAAGGACAAGAGTGAGAAATGACAGAAAGAAGAGTTATACAGAGAGCGAGAGAGGGCTTCAAGCCCAGCAGAGGAAGAAGAGATAGAAAACAAAAAGGACCAGAAAGGAAGAGGTAAGATGTGGGAAGCTGGTTCGGAGAAGACGGGCGAATTCCTCCTTCGCTCGGCTCTCTCACTTTCTTGTACTTTGGCCTTCTTCCTCTTCTCTTCTCCATTCTTTTTCATAAGGAAGGAGGAATGACAAGGACGGAGAGTTCAGGGCGTGCAAGGGGTACTTTTTCTCATCATCTCATCTTTCCTCGTGTTCAGCGTTCTCTCCCTCGCTCTGTCTCTCTCCCTCCCTCCCTTCCCGTCTACTTCTACACACATTCCCTTTTCCGCTTCTCTCCGCCAAATATGTTCGGTTTATATATCTTTAACTTTCCCCCACTCTCTTTGTCCCGTCGCTTGCCCTATTCCTTCTAGCAGTCCAAAGTGCCTTGCCCTCCGCGTCTGTTCATTTTTTGTTCTTTTCCTATCTCACTGTCTCATTGCTGATAAACCAGGAAGAGCTTGTTGAGGAAGACAAATCAGAAGTGTTCTCCTGTTCGCTCACCTCGTGCCCTTCCTCTGCCACCCCTCGTCCGCTCTCCTTTCTTTGGTTCTCTCGTCTGGCGGAAGGTTGTTTAGGGTTTAGGGTTTAGGAAATGGAGAAGGGACATGACAAGGCTGAGAAATGACGGAAAGAAGAGAGATACAGAGAGCGAGACAGAGCTTCAAGGGAAGAAGAGAGAGAAATGAAGACAGGAGAAGGGGGGAAGGGGTGGACAGAATAAATGCAAGCCACAGCTACGGAATGAAAGAGAGGAAGCCCCTTTCTCCTCTGCTCCTCCTCTTATTCTCTTATTCCTTTCTTATCGCAGGACAGGCATGGAACAAGGAAAGGGAAGGGGTCAAAGCGGAGGAGAGAAAGTATCGGAGAGAGCAGGCTAAATCTTCCGTGCCCTACCTTCTTCGTCCCTCTCCACCTCTTCCTCTCACTCTCCTGATGCCTACTCATTTGAGAAAGGTGTAGAAAGGAGGGAAGGGTAGGGCATGGACCGAGAGCTGTAGTTTATTTAGTAACGGACTTTTGCAGAGAATACCTGAATACCTTATAAAATGCCACCCCCTATACATACCCAAAAGAATACATTCTATAATATACCTGATGGACTAACCTATAGAATATGCTTCAGAGTACCTTATAGAATAGCATCTGGAATACGCTGTAGAATACCCTATGAGAGACCCCCTATATATGACACACCCCGTACATAGAGCACCCTATAGACAAGGCTTTACATAGGAAATATCAGGAGGAGTGCAAGATCTAAGAATTCCACAATTCAATTGTAGCTTATTGAGTAAGGAACTTCATGATGGAAATCAGGAACGTAGAAGAATAGCCTATAAAACGCCCAATAGCATCCCCCCTCCCTATATCATTATATACCTCATAACCACCTACCTTCTTGCCTATAGAATACCTTACAGGATACCTTCTACAATACCACCTGTATATGCCTTCTAGAATACCGTACGGGATGCCCTATAGATTGGCTTATAGAATAACTTGTAGAATACTTTATATGATCCCACCATACCCTACCTATATATATATATGTGTGTGTGTATATATATATATAAGAAAATCAGGAGGAGCTCACGATTTGAGAATTCCCCATTTAAGTTGTGGCTTACTGAGTAAGGGATTTCTATGAAGGAAATTAGACATGTAGGAATACTGTACCGAATACCCCTGCTATATGCCTTAAAGAGTTTCATATGAAATACCCCTTAGTAATACCTAACAAAATACCCTACAACCTACCCTTACAAACCATACATATATGTATACATATATACACCTTAGGGAACGCCCCATAGCCTATAGAGTACCTTCTAGAATACCTTGTCCCGAGAGAATACCATTTATAATACCTTCTGGAGCTCTCCAAGGCATACCCTGCAGAATGCTCACAGAAGACCTTATATCGTGCCCCTGATATAGCCTTATAGGATATGACCTGGAAGACTCTATAGAATACGCTATAGAGTACCCACTGTAAAAAAAATATATATGATACTTACAACTGCCTTGTAGAATACCCTATAGATAAGGATGTATTTATATAGAGACAATCAGGACCAGCATCTGAGAATTCCACAATTAGATTGTAGCTTGTTTGGTAAGGGATATCTATGGAGGAAATCACGACTGTAGGAGAATGCTTACAGAATGCCTTACTGAGTAACCCTTCTACAAATCATCATAAATTTCTTGATAGACTTCCCTAAATTAATACCTTATGGAGTAACCCCCTATATACCTCATGTATATATATATATATATTGATTGTGTATATATATATACATACACATACTCTATTGTTGCCCCAGACAGAGCTTTAGGCCTTCTAAAATACCACGTATATATAATCTCTGGAATGATCTGTGGAATATTTTACACAATACCCTACAAATACCCTATAGAATGCCCTATAGAATACCTCATAAAATACCCCCTACATACCGTGCCTATGCCTGATAGACTGCCATCTGGAATACGCGGTAAAAAAACCCTTTAGAATGCCCCTATATATTTGTGCTATCGAACCGCCCTTCGCTGTCCTCACTTTCGACAAAATGTAAGGTTTGACAACACCAAATCTTCTGAAACGACACCCTCGGGGAAATTTGGTGCTATCGAACCGCGCCTGTTTGTTGTCCGTACTTGCAATGGATAACACATTAACGCGCGATTCGGTAGCATTAAATGTTTTGAAAGGAAACCCTTCTTAAAATTTCGTGCTATCGAACCGCCCGTGTTTGTTGTCAGTTTTTGTGTCAGTGTTTGCAAGGGATAACACAGAAGCACAGCAACGGATTGATAGCACCAGATCTTCTGAAAGGAAACCCTTCAGAAAATTTGGTGCTACTCACTGTCACCCGCAGCCGTAGCCTCCAGGGTCGCCCCCAGACCCCCCAGCCCGAGGCCCGCACACCCCAACCTCCCACCAAACAAGGGCCGTTCGATAGCACCAAATTTTTTGAACGGGTTCCTTTCAGAAAGTTTGGTGCTATCGAACCGCTCCATTTTCCGACAGTGAGGACAGCGAAGGGCGGTTCCATAGCACCCAATTTTCTGAATAAAGGTTTCCTTTCAGAAAATTTGGTGCTATCGAACCGCTGCGTTTTCCGGGGAGGTGGCTTGGGGTGGGGGAGTTGTGTGGGGTGGGAGCCATTTAGATTTGTCCTTATATATCTTACTGCAAAATCCTTAAAATGTAAACGGGCTAAATAGTCCAAGCCCTTGGTTTTGGAAAAGCTAAGAGGCCTTGGACATTGTAAAAATCATCTTTAACATTTTTAGAATTTACAAGGGGCCAGCCATTTAGACTTTTTTATTTCAAATTTTAAGGCCCTTAGTTTTTTACATCTGTAAAATTTAAATGGGCTAAGTAGGCCAAGCCCTTGGCTTTGGAAAAGTTACAAGGCCTTTAACATGTTTTAAATGCGCTAGCCATTTGCTTTTAAGTTTTTGCAAATCTTAATGCTCTTAGTCTGTTTATCATCTTTAAAATTTAGATGGGCCCTTGGCTTTGGAAAAATCAAAAGGCCTTTAACTATTCAACAACCTTTGAAATTTCTAAAACGTAAATCGGCCAGCCATTTAAAATTTAAGTTGTAAAAATTTCGTGGTCTTTTTTTTGAATTCTTTAAAAATTAGATGGGCTAAACAGGCCAAGCACTTGGTTTTGGAAATATCAAAAGACCTTTCAAATTACAATATTCGTTAAACATTTAAATCTGTGTAAAAAATATTTCAAAATCTTAAATGGGCCAGCCACTTCAATTCTTATTTTCCTAAAATTTTACTGCCCTAAATTCCTTAACACCTTCAAAACTAAATGTGCTAAACATGCCAAGCCTTTGGCTTCGGAAAAATTACAAGCCCTTGAAAAACTGACACATCTCTACAATTTTTAGAGTTTATATGGGCCAGCCATGTACGTTCCATTTTTTAAAATTTTCATGCCCTTAAATTCCTTAAAACCCTTAAGAATTACATGGCTAAATAGTCCAAGCCCTTGGTTTTGGAAAAGTGAAGAGCCCTTTAACATTTTAAAAGTCTTTAACATTTTTCAAACTTAAATGGGCCATCGATTCAAATGTGGAATCTTTTTACAAAATTAACGCCCTTAAAACTGTGTAAGTTTTAAAATGGGCTTGCTACTGACAGTTGTTGAGGTTTAAAAGAATAGAAAAATAAGGGCATTAAATCTAAAAGGTGGTTGGCCCATAAAAACCTCAACAATGTTAAAGGTCTTTTGACTCTTCCAAAACCAAAGGCTTCACCCATCTAAGTTTTAAAGATGTAAAGGCTTATGTGCGTTAAACGTCTACACAATTAAAACTTAAATGGTTGGCCCATGTACATTTTCGAAGTTTCAATTGCTTTAAAACTTTAACTTTCCCAAAACCAAGGGCGTCACCCATTTACATTTCAATTATTGTAACAAATTTGGGCAAGCTTTTGACTTTTCCAAAACCAAGGGCTCGACCCAGTTCAAATTTTAGAAGCTTACAAATTTATTGTCATTAACATTTAAAAATGTAATATTGATGTTTATGGCCTTTTCTAAAACCAAAAGCTTGACCCATCTAAGTTTTATAAAATTGGATCAATGTGCTTTAAAAAACTCAAAACTGATATTTAAATGGTTGGCGCATTTCAGTTTTCGAAATCTTACAGACCTTTAAACTTATCAAGGCCTTTTCATGTTTCCAAAACCAAAGGTTTTACCCATTTGCATTTTAAATGTCTTTAGAAAAATGTGGTCATTACCAGTTTTGAAAATACCAATCTCTGTGGCAAGGAATTATAACAACCAAGCCGAATGCCAACTAGATCACGAAGGTCCTAATAAATACGTGTATATACATATATAACACAACAAGTTCGGAGTCTCCGTCGGTCTCACTTGCTTGAGAGCACCGAAAACCCACATCAGTCTCTTCCTTTGAAGCCATCAGTTAGGATTTCGTCGCTGACTCTAGCACGTATCAGGCAAGGCTCCACAGTGTTCTCAGTCGGGTTTCGACTCACACACTCGCGCAAGCAGGCATGGCAGGTACAGGTCCATTTAGGGTTTACGCTCCCACTCAGGTGCAACCTTGGGCGCACAAAAAGTGTACAAGATTGCGGTCTAGGTACCTAGGATTCCCTGCTGTTTCAGCTCCGCATCGTGCTGGGCGATGCACAGCTTATCCAGGAAAACCATGCGCCTGCGGCTGGCCCCGAGCAAATATTTTTCCTGTCGAGTCCCTTCGCTTCGTGATTAAGATTTCAGTGCCGATTCACTTGAAGCAGGAAGCCAGCACAACATGTTGTTGCCCTCGCCTGAAGCCAAAAAGAGATTGAATTCTTTGCCACCAGCAGAGAACAATCACGAATGTCGCGTAGCCGAAGAAGGTGGAGTGCCAATGGTCCAATATTTCGAGCTTGCCTTTGTGCTAAGACCCATGAACCAGGCAACCTAATTGAGAGCTGGGGACTTGAAACTGATATGAAGCTCTCAGAGGACCCACAGGGCTCCGTCTATGATCCATACCTTGCAGCTCGGATGCAAATGATGCGGAGGCAGCCAATGATGCAACTCATCACAAAGGTTGCAATCGTGGCGGCTTTGACGTTGAACATCCAAAGTAGGGTGATCACCTGAAGATCATCTTTTCTATGGCATTTTGAACACAACAGCGGCCATAGTGAAAAGTGATAGACCAACCATTTTCGCTTATGTAGCCCAACTGCTCCGGAATATGGCCTCGCACCCACAAACCTCTCATAATTATCAGCCAGCGCATACATATGCGGGCTTTGGTGAACTCGACAGGAGGGTCGGTTCATGTTGCAACGCTTGTGGAAACCCCTGTCCTGGTGCCTTGAGGAACCGGCTGGTACCCCAATCGTGGCTCAGAAAATTGTCGATCCTCAGCGAAGGCTTTCTTCTGCAAATTTCGTCGCACTGGCGGTCAACAAACTGAAAGTGTTGATTCAACTGCACTTTTGCGCAAGCAGCTCAAGGATACATAGCAAGATCTGGTCATGCAGCCGGGACCATCAAGCTACAAAGCAAACGATGTGGATGAGATACTGAGTAGACATATGCACGCCGTGTGTGTGTGTGTGTATTTTTAGCAATATACCCGACTGTACTGTACCATTCTTTACTGGGCTTTACTGTGCTATGCTGTATTATACAATGCTGTGTTACACCAAGCTCTATTATACCATAGTATTGCTGAGTTTATAACCATATGTGTATTCTATGTTCTATAACATGTGCCCTAGATTTCGTCTAAGATGGTATAACATGCAAGATGACATGCAACAACAGTACAATGTAAACTACGGTAAGCTAAGACAAACGCACATGCTTACGTATGCGTACAAAAGTAACAGCAAAAGCGTGTGTGTGTATATATGTACATATGTATATGTATACATACACTGTATGCATATATAACAGTCTCTGCCTTGCATAACATGCAGCAGGGGGTCTGGTCAGTCTTTTGGCTGAAACTATCCTCCGACTGGTCGATGGAGAACCTGAGTGCGCATGGCATTTGGGACCTGTTGAGGCAAAACCAATCTCTTCGTGCCGTATAATGTAGTTCACACCGCCTTGCATAGTATAGTCTAGTATTATCTGCATAACATGGGACAGCAAACCCTACGGCAAAGTATGGCTTTTAGGGTTTATGATGTTCGGGTTTTGGGGTGCGTGGGGCTTTAGGATTTAGCATTCTCTTGTCTTGGCGACCCGTCACTCAATACCTCCTCCTCGTCCCAAGGCAGACCCATTCGGACAGTCATGAGATGTTTGTGTGCACAATTACAGGTTTGCGTATGTTCCAATTTTCGCAGCTGTCTACTCGACTATAGTACATTATACTACAATCAGAAAATCTACATTCAACGGCGCACAAGAAGGCTTCAGAGGGCAGAGAACCAACACCCAAAACTCCACGCATCCAGTGCCGGTGCTCGTGTACCGCAACGCATGCGAGGATGCCTGCACGGGCCTCGATATGTGCAGCTATGCATGTTTCGACTCAGGAAAGTAGCACTAATCCAAAGAAATCAAGCGGGCACAAACGCCCAGCAAACACTACTCTTTTCCACTCGGCTCGGAAGCTTCAGCCCGTCCTGAAGTTGCAAATCAAAGTCACGTGCACAACCTCACAGCTCTGCCACAGCTCACTGCTTACATCCCTAATACATTCTTGAAGTTTCTGGGCTCAGTGTCACCATGCACCTCGACTTCTTCATTCCAAGAGCAATGGGATTCCGTAGCGAACTGTTGTATGTACTGGATGAAAAAGCTCTCATCTGAGAGGATATTACTGTGGAGTTGTGGTTTTGACAACTTCTTGCCGGCTGTAAACGAGGGATCGGGTACAACACTCCAGCGCTGGCCGCGTGCCAGGAAGTCTAAGAATCCCCTTCGAGCCGTCACACTGTCCTTTGTGAGGCCGTCGGCGAGCTGAGCAGTACCGTTCATCCAACCAAGTCTCGTGCCAAGTGCCACTGCCCGCTGAACCGACACAGTAAGCCAAAAGGCGGCTCGGGGTGATCGGAGGCCGTGCAATGCCGAGACATTCCCCGGCATCGCATACAAAATTCCTTTTGAATCCATCACCACCCCTCCTTTGGTGTACTTGCACAGGTTCTCGGCAAGGTCGTAGCGAGAGATCGCTCCTCCATGCAGCTCGTACCACATGGCTCTCAGGAGGAAGACTTGGTTCTCTCCCATTGTGATCGCCTGTACCTCGCTGCCGTTGGAGCCTAAGCTCTCGGGGGCAATTTGGAGCCCCTCCACAAGATCATTGCCAAGGAGACCTCTTCATTTTTCAGGATCTTGTCAGGGTCCCGGAAATCCGAGGATGCCCGCTGTAGAGGACTTTTTTGGCCTGTTGCCTTGGCTCGCATCAGACCAGAGCATTGCACAGATTGACTGCCACGGCAGTCGCCAGGTTGCCTGATCAGCTTGTTGGTGTCGATCAACGTGTGGACAGTGGCCTTCGGTAGCTCTGAGAGCTTCAAGGAAAACTCGGGCTAGAACTGAGGTCCAGTCTGAGCAGCCTTCAGCGCAAGCTGCCCGGAGCTGCTCTCAATTCCCCAACCTCAGAGGATGTTGCCAGTGACTTCCCTTGTCGGGACCTCGCGGGGGACAAAGGAAAAGTCGTGAACCCATTCGTTCAGGTAGTCCTCTTGGTCCAGGACGATTCCAGCCTCAGCAGATTGACGAATCCTGCAGCCAGCGAAAGTGAAGCCCTTGCCTTCGGCACTGTCCCATCTGCCATATCCAAACTGACGTCGCAGTGCAGCTTTAGCTTGTTAGTAAAATGCTCAGTCAGGGAGGCCGGGCAAAAGAAAATCATCAAAGTGTAAGCCGGCCAATGCGCAGAGCGCTCCATCCTTGTCCCGCAAGGCAAAGACACACCTGTCCGACTTAAGTTGTTCCCAGCCGTTCTCCAGCAGGAAGGCGACGACCGAGTCATTCCACTTACGGGGTGCATGAGCAAGCCCACACAAGGCTTTGGTAAGCTTCATCAGCGGGGTCTCCACGATCATCCCAGCATTAGAGGCTGCAGCAAGGAGCATGTTCCGTCCTGTTCGGGATAAGGTCGGCGCGGCCGTTTCCACGTCCAAGAGGTTGTGGGCTTGGTAACCCAAGACCACCAACCGAGGTTTCGCTGCTCCTGTAGCCTTTCGTGTGAGAATGCATCGCATGCCCATTACTTTGACTTTGGAATGATCAACGCCTTCAAGCTCTCGAGAAGTAAGGGCACGAACGGCCCGCTCACGAACCACATTAAACACTTCCACAGCCTGGGCCTCGTCGTACTCGTTTTTCTCCTCGTCGGTCAGCAACTTACGCAAGTCCCGGTCCTTCAAGCTGAGCTCGCATCCATAGCAGGAACAGCTTCGATGATCTGCACTTGCTGAGGACCGTCTTGGCCATCCGGAAGAAGCTCCTCCTCGCTGCTACCGTCCTCATCTGAAGACGAGTATGGAGCTGCGCTTGGCTGCTCCTCTCGAGAAATCAGAAACTCTGGTTGCCCAGGAAGGCTTCCCACAACTAGTAGTTCCAAGGCCGCCGAAGACGCAGGAGGAAACGGAACAGGTACCGGTGGTTCTAGATCTTCAGCCTGTGCTGGCTCAGGAGGTGCTATTGGCATAGGCGGCTCAGCATAGTCAGATGTCCCGCTCATTGGCTGGTCCAAAAGCTCCTGTGTCCGTTCCTTCTTAGGAGGCCCCACCGAACCAGCTGAAGACGCTTCCAAGACACGTCGAAGACCAGATGCCCTCCGGATGTGGTTCATGATGTACCTCTAGGATGTACGACCTGCTTGGGACCAGACTGTGGTGCTTGTTGTTCTCGATGTCGGTAGTGGTCGGACTTCTCCCCGTGGAGCTCGTTGTTCCTGCCGTGGTGGTCGGACTTCTCGCTGTAGTGCTTTGTTGTTCCTGCCGTGGTCGTCGGACTTCTCGCTGTGATGCTTGGACTTCTCGTTGTGGTGCTTGCTGTTCCAAACATTGTGGTCGCACGGCTTTTGGCTTCAACTCAAACTGGGTCTCGCCTTGCCACCTTTCCATCAAAGCTCGTCCGGGACGGGCTTCTTCAGGGTAGTTGTCTGTGATCAGCTTAGCGCCACCGGGTCTTTGCACAACGGTTCTCCTCTTTCCAGCGAGGTTGTCCTCAGGCACGGGGCAGTCCTTTGTCGTTGTGAACAGAGATAGCCGAGGATTGCCGTGTTTCCGGATCACCATGGTCTCCGTCACCACCTGAGGTCGGGGTGCCCGAGGTTGAACCACTTTTTTCAACCGGGGTCAGCTCGTCTTCCAAATCGGCGCCGGGGGACTCCGAGGTTGCATCCAGGAACTGTTTCTCCTCGGTATCCACGCAAGAGGATCTCCAAGCCCAGGGTCAGGCTCCTTGTAGTCGAGCCCAACTATACAGCACACGTCCTCAGCCCTCCGCTGTCACATCTGTTTCAAAACGTTCTATCCATACTGTGATGTTCTTCATAGGACAACATTGCCCGGGGCATGAGCCAACACTCTATCAGCCATCTATGCTCCGAGCAGAGGCCAGCACTTCTCACGGCCCGCCTGTTATGGACCCGGGTCTCACGTGCCAGGGACGACAACTCAGCAGACCATGCATCCAACTTGTTTTCATCCTTGTAAGACCAATATTTACCAGCCGGCCTCGTAATGCTATCATGTAGTCATGCATCGCCAGTGCTGTCATGGCTTTCTGACGAAAGACTCCTAGTGCGGTCATGCAGTGGTGTTCAGGCCATCACGTCAACTTGAGCCTCTTGCAAGGGCAGATATGCAGAACTCGCCATGCCGATCACATGCAGTTTTCCAGTCTTGCACCTGTATCTGGATAAGTTCTCATCTTGCACCAGCAGGGATTCAGCAATATTGTGCTCAATTCAACCAAAGCATGTTGACTGTTTGCATCGGTACTCCTGGCACAGAGCCCACAGCGCAGCAATATCCGAGCAACAGTCGACATCCAGATCCTCTCCAGCATGCCACTTGTACAATGTAGCAGACATCCCAGAGCCGGGGAGTACACAGCGTAATGAAGGCACAAGACAGTGTGGCAGACTTAACCGTCATCCATTCCCGATCCCATGTGGATGTGCTTAGCAGTTGTCGCCAGCGGGCTCCAGAAAAGGCAACACCATGGTGTCGGCATAGCGCTTGGGGCCCACACTCCCTCCAGCATGCCATATGCACAGAGTATCAAGCATATGTGGCCCGGAGGTACATGATGTATTCGAGGCGCAAATATTGGGTGGCAGGCCGAGCCAGAAATCATTCTCATGTGGATGTGTTCCGCAGTTGTTGCAGGCGGGCTCTAGGTAGGGATTGACCATGGCATCGGCGCGGTTCGTGGGTTGGTGGTCTTTATGACTTACAAGAAGGGGGTAGGGCCCCGCGTAGGGTTGGGCCAGGGTAGTAACCGCCGACGGTGAGCATCCGGCAGTAGCAGGCAAAGTGACCCAAGGGTAGAGGCGTGGGTCAGGTGCAGGCCATGACCATGTTACATGACAGAGCGTTCATGTTCACAGACTCCCATCGACCCAGCCAGTCCCTAAGTCACACCGAAAAGCTCCACCCGAACGCTTGTCATGTCCTCAGTAGAGTACCCAGCTATGCAGGTTCGGGGTCAACGTCGACATTTTTCTGACATGCACTTGCGAAGCTGCAGTGGCTTGGTCTGACGCCCACGGGACTGAGAAGCAATGGCTTTGGCTCCCAGATTCCTAAGGTTCTCTTCCCACCCGCCCAGCTGACCAAGTCGCACCGCAGGGAGCACACAAGAAACTATTGGAGGGCGCCTGTCCCCAAGATTTCAGCAATTTAGGGCCCAAACTTAAAATCGGGAATGAATTGAATTGCAGGTTCTATAACAATGGTGACTGCTTTTAAACATAGGGACAAGTAAAAAGATAAAGCAAGTATTTGGCACTACCTCTGTGAGGGGTGGGGCGGGGCCGCCCGGTTTTTACATATGCGGAAACCTTAGCGCGTAAACCCCTCGAAGAAGTATGTTTAAATCTATGTAAGTACCTGATACACACGTGTCGCGCACGCACGCACGCACGCACGCACGCACGCACGCACGCACGCACGCACGCACGCCCGCGCACGCACGCGCGCACGCACGCACGCACGCACGCACGCACGCACGCACGCACGCACGCACGCACGCACATCCTGGACGCCTTCTTCCACGACCAACATCATGCAGGAGAAGGGCGGACCGGGATTTGCAACGGGATTGGTGTAAGACAATATAGTCGCGGCAGGAAAACCGCCCTAACTGCCGCAGTTAAGCTTTAAACTGTTCTAAAGCAGTCAAAAAACAGCAGAATTGAACTGATGCCAATTGCTCGCGAGTGAAAGTCCACGGGTTCGAAGCCCGCACCACGCATTTATTTTCACCGGAAGAGGACAGTGGAGCGCTCGGGGGAAGGGCCTGGAACTCGGGCGGTGGGGTTCATGGGCTGAGCCTGGCCGGGGCTGGCTGGGTTGGGAAGGGAAAAAAGCCTACAGCGGCAGTTAGGGCGTTCTTCCCTTGAACCCGTCCGCAGCCCGAGTCCTCTTCCGGTGAAAATAAATGATCGAACCCGCGGACTTTCACTCGCGAGCAGAAGCTGCTCCACTAGGCTAGATGCTCCGTGTCGTATCGGCATTCACATCTGCTGTTGTATACCTGCTTTGGGACAGTTAAAACCCTAACTGCGGCAATTAGGGCGTTTTCCCTCCCGCCACTATATTCCACAAATTCATTACACTCCTAATCGCGTTGCAAATCCCTGGTTGTTGTCGTGGTCGTGGAAGAAGGCGTCCAGGATGTTTGTGTCTGTGTGTGGGTGTGCAAAATGTGTGTATAAGGTACTTACATACACGTAACATCGATGCGGAGATTTAAAAGAAATTATACTATCTCCGTGGCTCGCGGCCCGAGCCCGCCCTCCACATGTTTAAAGTGGTCACAGAAGGTGTTGCGACCCCGGCTCCTTTCGAATGTGCAACAGAGGAACATGCCCTCATATTCGTTCCGAAAAGGGCGTCCCCAGCTCGCCAAGCAAGCGCTCAGTGGAACGGACCGAACCAGCCTCAGGGCAAGCAGATGATAAGTTCCGAAACTCCGTGGCTCTTCCAAATCACCCGTAGTTGCTGAATGGTGCAGCCGGGGGGCGCTGGATCCAGATTGCTGTACAGTCTGGCTAAGCCTCAGGGCTGCTTCGGATTTCCAAAGGGGAGAGACACCACAAACCCCGACTCCATCTATTTTTTTGACGACGACTCCAGTGCACGGATTCCTGCCCCCCCTCCAAACGTTAACAGAAGACCGAGAAGCGCTCAGGGCTGTTACTGGACGCCCTGGACGCTTGTGATTCTTGCCGGGGAAAAGCATGGCCGGCGGGCTCAAGCTCCATCTACACGGGGCAGATGCATCAACTGCTATCCTAGCAACAGGGAAGCTGAGAGATGACAATGTCGGTCTTTGTCGTTGTTTATGGTGACGATATGTGACGACTGTAAGCGTGCTTGCGAACAACATGTTTGACACAGTTTTTGGGAATGTCTTTCATGTCTTATACTTATACCGTATACTGCGACCGCACGCGCTGTGCAGCGTCTGTGCCTGCAGCCATGAGAATACAATGGCAACGGGAAATGTCCGAATGCCTTGCTTTCAAACGCGTTCGTTAGGCGTGGAAGAAGGGCTGGCAACCAATCAAATTTCTCGGCCCCTCGGGAGGCAAGGAGCGACGAGAGAAACAGATGGCCAGGTGGCTAAGACAAAAGCACAGCACTGCACTTTAAAGGGGAGAAGACAGGCAGTGCTAAGGGAAGAAGGAACGCAAGAGAACAACAACATACTCATTGCAGACTCCAGAAAACCAGAGCACCGAGAGGGCGAGAACAGTATCTGGAAAGCTTTACCTCACAAGCTGAAACAGATTGCAGTCGAAGCCTCCAGGCTGGAGCGGTTTAGGTTGACACAGACTAGACTCCCAAGACATCCGAAGCCGGCAAGTTCGACAAAAAGACACAAGTTAGGGATTGCAACACTGAAAAAAAATCGATCTCCACTTCACGACCACGTGATAGGCTCCAATCCCTAAGGCCTACAGCCCTAACCCAAGCTGGGCTAGGCTTTGCTTGACGTGCGAATCGTGGGACCCAGATCTGCAGCAGCTGCATGACATAGTTCTAGGGCCGAAACCGGAGAATTGAGGCTAAACCCGGAGCAAGATTGGGCGAGCTTTCTCAACAAGAATCACGTCGGTGCTAGCAGCTCAAGCAGCCCCGTCTTCGGATTGTCGCCTTCCAGGCACCAAGCGAACATACAAGCAAAGAGGTTTTCAAGACTTCTTTGCATTGACCTTGCTGACTTGTTTTGGTGAAGGCCTGTTAGTTACAGTTGCTGATTCTGAGTTCTAGGCTGTCCATCGCAATGCTGAGAAGCTTGAAATCTGCGCCTCGGATGCCGCAAGCTTCCAGCAAAGTTCTTGCAGGTTGGAGCTATGAGGGGATCGCCTGCACCGCAATTCCTAAATCCTAAATCCTGTATCCTAACCCTAAGCCCTCTGTTGTCCCATGATTTGAAGTGGCGAGACCGAGGTTGTGACCGCTGGATCTCGCGTGCTTGTAGAGCCTGGGATAGATGGGAGTCTCGAAACATTTTATAAGGGGAAATCCAACAACCAAACTCTACTTGTAGGAGTCTTGTCTTGTAGGCTGAATGTGAAACCAAGCTGAATCTAAGCAAATGAGGACACCCAAACAAGGTACCTTGTCTTTGACCGAAACAAGCAAGCCTACCTAAACCCTAAACCCTAAAAATACCGACAAGAGACTCGATCGACCTTGAGTCCAACCGATCCCAACTCCCGAGCCGCCTGTGACGCTTCAAGCCACACATCCAACCCCACCGGCGGCCCGAGACGAACAAAAGGGTTTAGGGCTTAGGGCTTAGAGTTTAGGGTTTTAGGGCTTAGGGTTTAGAGTTTAGGGTTTAGAGTTTAGGGCTTAGGGTGTAGAGAGTTTAGGGTTTGGGGCTTGGGGTTTAGGGAAGTTCATGCGTGCGGTGGACACCATCCGCCAGCCAATCCGTGTTTGTAGGACCGTAGGAAAGCGATGCCTCTCTGCTCGGGGCCTCTCTCAATCGAAATCAGCAACACTCACACCACAACCTAAAAAGGGTACCAATTCAGCACTGAAAGTCTCAGAATTCATTGGACTTATATTCAACCCTTGAAGAAAAGGATCCTTACTTCGTCAGGAAGACCGGACTTTCCGATATCCGAGCCGCTCGATGAGGGAGAGCTGCTGCAGCTCTTGCCGGCCTTGACATTCTACGGTTAGGCCCAGGCGTTAAGCCTCTAGTTTTAGAGTTTCGGGTTCAACGGAAGGTCACGAAAGGGGATTCGGCACAATACTCTCGACTACGAATTACGAACAGTGCCGTCGTGCAATTCCATTCGCAACCTGTGCCATTCAGGCATTCAGGTCATCACGTCCTATGCACACGCTCCATTCCTCTCCCTCTCCCTCCAAAGGTGGCAAAATCGATTGCAGGTTGCGCTTCGTTTAATTCAAAAAGCGTTAAGCACAAAATCAGTCGGACTTGGTCTACATCTCGGATTGGTCTTACGGCTCTCAACATGGCAAAGCTTGCTGCCCGATCGACAGCTCCATGAGCCGACTTGTGGCGCGCAGGTCCCAGCGGGTTTCAGGCTTCTGACTGACTGCGATTTTGGTCAATGGTGGCAGGCATGCGTAGACATCTGTAGATGAAGCTTCCAGGCCCAGGCTTGGCAAGGGCCGCGCAGGCTTCGTCTCGGTCCTAAGTGCTGAAGCAGGTACGGCTCAACTCACCGGAGGAAGCTGTTCTCAGACATTCGCTGGCGCTGTTCCGTCGGCTTTGCCTTGAGGGCGCGCCCGCTGCCTGCGGGACACGGATTCGGCCTGTTCTTCTCTGTTGCGTCTGCATGGCAAAGGCCTTTGCCACCATGCTGCGAGGTGCTGACACCTGGGATGTGCAGAATGGTAGCTGGTAGCGTCGTGGCCAGATTCAGTGAACAAGTCTCTGCTGGCCTGCTTCTTTGGCAGCCCGGGCGCGCCGAAGGTGTTCATCCACCCTGGTCAATCAGCAGCTCCTCTCTCGATCTTCGCAAGAGCTCGAGGCTGCGACCAGTCCCGCCAACCTCGACTTGGCTAAACCCTAAACCCTACACCACTTCGAAAGTGTGGAAGGAGTAAGAACGACCAAGGCGGCCACAGCTGCGGCAGAACCACTCAAAGTTCCCATCTGCATCTGCTCGTGCCTACTAGCATACAGGAGTCCCTCATGCTCGGTACAACTCGGGGAGCTTCGTCCAGTCTGCAAGGACTATGCTAGCTAGCACGATCCTGCACAAGTGTTGGCCACAGGCTGACAGCTCAAACGCCAAGCACCTGGTGGTTGAAGCGGAGGATGCTAAGCTCGACACGCCCTCGGAAGGATCTTCGAATAACACGCCACATCGCTCGCAGCGCCAGTATCCTTCCATACCTATCACAAAGTCAACATGAGTAAGACATCTCTTCTGCCTTAGCATTGCTCGTAGAAGGGGGCGTCTCATTCTGGCCTCCTACAGGCGCCGGCTGCGAGATGGTTGAACTCCAGTCGAAGCCCGAGCCGGCGACTTTGGCTTCAGCGGTCTGGCATCGGAGTAGGGCGAAGCACGCGGTGCCGTTTTGGAATGTGGCAAAAAGGCCTCTGAAACGGCGACCGGCTCAGGTTCCGGGTCGGCAGGCTTCTCCTTCTCCTGCTACGGGACAAACTGCTTCACACGCAGAACTCTCTGAGGTGTTGATGCCTTCGGCGTAATCCACGGAAATGGCCTGTGACGCAAAACATCGCAAACTTCCGCCCACACAATGACGAAGAAGGTTTCTAAGGCTCGGGCTTTCTCTGGAAGGGCAACTTGGCACCTTCGTGACGTCTATACAGGCATCGATTTGGGGATGATGCTGAGGCTCCTGCCAAACTTTCGGTCCTGCATAACCTTATGTTGCCCTTGCTCCTTCAGTCTGCTTGCAGCTTGCGTCTGGAAAGCTGCCGTGACGGATCCGAGGCCTACCTCCTTGGCCATGTACTCCGAACTGTTAGGCCTTTGATGCAAAGGCTGCAGAACGGAGTGTTCCCCTCCCTAGCTGTCATTTGTACACCTGAGACAGCCCCCAACTTGATCTCTGACACTAAGCGATTGCATCTTGATCAGAAAGCCGGTGCAAGACCGCACACACTGCACGGCACGTAAGTGCAAAGCGGAGGCATCCATCTGTGCAGTCGCACCTCTTCACCTGGAAGATTGAGTCAAGATGAGGAGTTGCCATGTATGAACATGAAGCCTAGGCCGGCAGAACAAAGCGCCTCCCATGCCACTTGCAATCTTCGCAGTAAGACCTTTTCCAGCAGGAGCCTGGCAAGCAGCGCTTCGCAGTCCGAATGTTGGAAGCTGCCAATCATTCGGCAGCTGTTCGTCTTAGGCAAGCGCCCACAACCCACTCTTGAACTGCTTGTCAAAGGTTTGGGCCTGCTCCAGTGAACTTCCAACATGAACTAGACATGATGACTAGGCCACCGGACAAGCTGGACCAACTCTTGCCTGCAGCAGCGGAGATGGGATTTGTGAGTCTGAGTCTAAGCAGCGATTCGTGGGTGCTCGTGGGCTACTAAGATTGATGCGCGAGTGCGCAGCGCCGCATGTCCGAGACCTTCTTGCAAAGGTCGTGCCTCGGACTCTTCGGGCAGAAGGGACTCGAGGTTTCAGTAACAGGCGATTACGAAGCTCTGACGGCGGAAACCGGAAGCCGGGACTGCAGAGAGTCATAGAGGCAGAAATATGAAGCTTTGCTCGGCTCAAAGCTCCGACTGCTGCGAGCCGATGATAAGTGAATGCTGAGGCAGCCCACGCAGCTCTTGCAGTTGGCATGGCGTCTTCCGGACGCTCTGCCTTTGCTTAGGGGACGTCTTGGGTCTGGGGGTCTGGGGTTTTACGTTGCGGTGAAGTGGGCCACGCTGTACTCAGCGAACGTATGTGAACGTGTTCTAAGATCCCACCTCAAGCTGGGCGACGGTGAGCTGCAACAAGGAGTCGGCCTGGAAAGCCATAATGCAACATCATACCATCCACCGCAACAACCTAATTATGACGATGCTGGGAATCAGCTACCGGGTCCGGGGGCATCTATGCTGTACTTCTATCAACTTCTACTCAGTATCAGTATCTTCACAGCAGCGTGACGTGTGGACTCGAGCTCGCTGCAGTTGTCGTAAGCATTCGAGCAACAATTCTCATCATGACACTGATACGATGCCGCTAACAAGCCCAACATGTCAAGAACAACAATACTAATACAGCGTCCAATCGCATGAAAACGGAGGGGAGGACTGTTCCGGACCCCTGATACAAGCTTGAAGATATCACAAGGACAGCACCGCTCACTCGCACGGGTTTCCACACCCTTCGTGGGCCACAGCTGTTGCAATGCCGGGTCAGTGCCGCAATATCGTCAAAAGTAAACAACCGCAGAATGTCAGAGTACCCTCTCAGCTACTACAATGTAACATGGATCACTATGTCACAGCCCAGAACGCAGGGCAACATACCACAGTGGAGGGGCTGAAAGCGTGATATGCAAAAATAAGAACATCATTCGGAAATCACGGGCATGTTCCAGCATGTTGCTTCAAGTCTCGAAGTCTGGCATCTGTTGCATCACAGCGTGGCATTCGGTGCTGCCCTCATGTGCCTCGCCGGTTTGGTCGCCCAGCTCTCTGTACAAAGATGCGGACCTTAGGGTCTGGGAACCAGGGAAGCTGCAGACATTCATGCAGCGCTGGCCTTCTTGAATCACGAGCTGTGAGGCTGAGGGCACAACTCTCTCGCAGCCTATCGCGCATACTTGAGCAACAACTCTGAACGTAGGTGTGTCACTCTCCGGCATGATGGGTCTTGGGTTCGCACCATAGCTCCTTGTGACGGAGACCTCCAGGAACATGTGCTTTGCAGCCAGCCTTCTTCCCATACTCCCGCGGAACCAAGCGCTACTTGGGCCGAAGCTTCTTTTGCAAATGCGCGGCCGCGAGCCTTAGCTCAAAGCGCAGCTCCTAAGGCTGCTGGCTGACATCCATCGCTTCATGCCTTCTCTCCCACGTATATAACATTGCAATGTGTCATTTGAGCTTGTTATAGTATATCTTATTATCTATCCTAGGATCCGCCGCTGCTTAGCTTGGGCTTGGACGTTCGCAAGGCCGACGCCAGGCCTGCCATGTCGCCACCCTCTCTGAAGGCCTCTGGCACCAAGGGGTACTCGGGTGCTTTGTTTATTTTTGGTTTAGTTGTTTTGTTTAGGGTTTAGGGTTCAAATCCTAAAACCTTTTTTGCAACAGGCTTTCCCTAAACCCCAAACCCAACTTCGCAAAGATTCAAAAAGCTCAAAGCATGGCCTCGGCAGCTTGCGAAGATGCTTGGATGCAGTCCAAGGAGAAGCCCTGCAGTGCCTACCAGGAAGGAAACATGTCAACGGCAAAAGCCCTGCCATCTCGGGGAGCAATCAAGACGCATCATGCATCTCATCCATATGCGCACTACACGCTGGGACAGCACATGCGACTGCACTGCGCATCTATACGTGTCTTTGCATTAATTTAATTTACATTATGAGAAAGAAAGAGGTCAGAGCGAGTTCCTAGGCCATGTCCAGATGTATTTCTACTACCCCGGCTACGTGTCTCTATACAGACAAACACACAGGCATGCATGTACAAGTAGACTATGGCTTAGAGGGCACGGCAAAACTCCGACATTCGCAGTCATCTTACTGCATCTTTCGCTGCCGCATGAACTTCGGAAGAATGACTCTCTGACAGCAAATGCACCGCGAGGCAAGGCAAAGGGATGCACAATTTGAATTGTCAACCATCACCTCTACGGAAGAGCCGACCGAAAACAGCATCGGGAGTGCTTTCCGGAACGACCTCTCGCCTGCAAATGCTGTGGGTTTAAATGACCACTTGACCTTTTTCGTATTACTGTCATATTGATATACTACGGGCACAGGACCCTTTTGCCGAGACAGGCATGGACACTCCCGACCAAATTGCTGTCAGTTTCCTCATCCGATGATTTCGTCTAGCGTGTGACCCCGATGATGCAGAATAGCGTAGGATCGTAGGAATGTTGCGGCAACTGCGGGATCCGCTATCATTGAAGTTGTGCAAGGGTTTCTGGCAGATGCCTTTTGTGGGGAAAATCCATGAGCTACCCTGGCACGTACCGCTTTTTCAGCTGCTGGTTGGCTTGGCCGACGTCTCGCAGCTCGTGCATTTCGACTGGAAAATGCCGAAGCCTCAAGTACATGAGTCACATGAGTGTCCCAGGCTGGCACAGCAGCAAACACAACATTCCCCCCCTTGCTGTCCAGCGATACGAAACGCACCGCCTCCCAGTGACTAGGATTCCGACCTGAGACTCCGAAGAGGCCAACATATCCTCGCATCAGCCGCTAGATTATACTGATGCAGCCTGAGCCAGCGAACTCCATGAAAGCAAAGAGCGAGAAAAGATCCTTATAATATTATAACAAAATATGGTATAATATATGATATATAATACTTTAAGAGAAACCCCAGGCGGTCCGGTGCCGCCGCAGGCACTGCATGGCTTCTCTTGGAGCTTCTGAAAAGCACGCTGTGCTGCAGCCAGGACCTCTTGGCACCAAAGACAACAACTACAAGATCTTCTGCTTATAGGTGCTAGCACTTCAACTTTGATAATCTTTGATCGTGACGGACGACTATACTTATGGTGAAGGTCAGCAGTCTACTGATCATGCCGTACCTTGTTCGGAGCGATCTACGGGATCGGAAATGAGGCCAAATCCTGGGCCCCTGTGTCGCCTTGTGTCTTGGTGTTTCGCACAGTAGCACGTAAGAACTATTAAAATCGTTTTGGCACCTGTTTCTGCACAAAGGATGCACTAAGTCACCTGGGTGCTGGACTTCACGGCTGACATGTCAAAGCTTGGCTGAAGGAACCGTCCAAGGCTAGATGGATGCGAAGGGAAAGCAGTGCAATTTACAGCAGCCTCCTCTCCGTCCAGCAGCTCCCCACTGCGACTTGGTTGCAAGCCTCAGTCCCACAGCGGCAATGCCAAGCAGTCTCTACTCAGAGCAGCCCAGAGCATGACGAGCGGTACACTTAACGGCCTGGGAACCGGGGTCTGCATTGACTGGCTGGCTGCGGTCGACGTTCTGCACGTTGCTAAGCACTTCCGCCATGCTGTCCAGGGTGTCTTGATCGAAGATGGACACTGCCTCACTCTTCCGCAACAAAGGGGCAAGAAGACGCGTGAGCTCTGCTCCAGGTCGCAAACCTCGCATCTCTACACTATCTATCTATCTTTCTATCTATCTATCAGCCTATATACAGATATACATATATATATACATATATATATATATCTATATCTATATATATACACATACACTATATGTCTATCTTACCGTCTTGAATCTTGAACTGGGATCGAGCTGCACGCGGGACCTTGAAGCTGCTGGACGTCTTCGGATCGCCTGATAGGAGCCCAAGCAGAAAACTCACGAACACCGAGAAATGCCGGTCTTCCAAACCCAGCTAGGGTTTTTAGGGTTTAGGGGTTTAGTGCACAGGATCGACTTCGTTCGGTGACGGTGATTGAGAAAACCCACTTTATCAATGATTGCAAAGGAATCAGTGGCCAGTGGAGCCAGTTCTACACTGCAGCAGGCGGTTCTGAAAATTCAATCTCGCAACTTCCAATCAGGATTTTTATTGGATTCAAAGCATGCTTGTCCCGCACCACCTGAACACCGCAATCTAGCGTCCAAACCTCTAAAGGTGATGGCAGATTCTTGTATGGAGAGCGAAATTCAGTGATGGACCTCCGGAATTTGTCCTCTGCTCGTGCCGCTCCATCATGACTCCTTTTTCACATGTTCGGTATTGAGGACTAAACTTTGTGATTCACACCTTCGGAAGTCGTCCATGCTAGCAGGCGAGCTGCCGCGCTGGAGATAGAGAGAGAGAGAGAGAGAGAGAGAGAGAGAGAAAGAGAGAGAGCGAGAGCGAGAGCGAGAGTGAGAGAGAATATGAGATTCACAGGATCTGAAGGTGGTGCGGACATGTAGGATTAAAGGGACCGTGCGCGAAAGATTAAAGACAAACTTGATACTAGTATGGTACTTTTTGTGCTCTCCACCGACAACTGGTTGCCTCGAGCCGTCTGCTTCGAGATGTCGTCAAGGCTTTCTTCTCGAACGCTGTTCCGTATCTCCTCCATGCTTTCCGCTTGCTCGCTGTTGGAATTTGCCTCAGGAGGTGCGCCGCTTGTGAGTGAATACGGCGGCTCATTGACCAGATATGCCCCATGCCAATACGCCCTCCAACATGCCAGGGGAGTGGCGCGGGGTACGGAGCACTGCCCGGCTGTCGGCTGAAGAGTCTGGCCAGCTGTGCTGGACCTTGGCACTTATTCCGGCACAGTCGACTCTGAGATGTTTGCACCCAGCGATTATCATCCGCGCCTGCCACCAAATCCCAAGTCCAAAACTTTAAATGTCGACTTCCCAACGACAAGTTGCTGGGGCAAAGGGAATCGCAAAGCTTGCGCTAAACGGGAGAGGTCCGCATAGTCCAAGTCCTTTCGGAGGTCGCATGCAGCAAATGCAATACCAAGGCTGTGGGCATGCTGAAACTATCCGACTGACAGGGATGACCCAGGGGAGTTCTGTTCAGTCAGGCTCCGCCGTCTGACATGTCACTTCCAGTGCATCTTTAACCCGCCCGACTGCTGCACGGATCATGGATCGAAGTGCGACCGTGGCGCCGAAAGTGAGGCTTCGCTTGCCCAGGATTCTCCGCTGGCTCGGGATGGAAGTGACTGCGGCGATACGGCATCCTGGCAACTCTCTGCTGCGATTGCCCGGCAAGCATGTCCCCCTCCCCGCCCCCCCCCCGGGCCTCATCAAAGGGAAGACTCAGCTCGGCTTCTTTCTCGCGTGATTCCCCAGAATGAGCTGCCTCCGCATCACGACATGCTGAACAAATCAACACATCGCTGCTGCCTTATCCTGTGCTTCATCTTTACGGCCTTGTCCGCTGGAATTTCGGATGCCGCGGGGTGCGACTCGGGCGCGGCCTTCAACTGAACAGTACAGACTAAACGTCAGCAGAATGCGACCCCATCTCGTGCCAATCTGCCTCACCAGTACTCGTGGAAGCGCCCACAGAAGCTTCCTGCAAGATGCCAGGGTGCTATTGGCCCCAACTACTGTATTTTGCAGTGCATGCCTTGCTCGGGACAGCGGCAATCGGCGCAGTGGGTGCTGCAATGTTGGAAGGGCTGCCTGCCACGATGTTCAAGTTCGTGGTGAGCTCTTCCCTCCAAGAGTTTCGCAAGCAAAGGAGCTAGATGGATCATGCATGTCCGTGCACGCCCTTTATCGTCGGGCCTGTCTGTCCTGGAAGGACGGTCTGCACGGAGATGTCAGTGCGAAAGGAGGGCCGTCGCGGCGGGGATCCTGGCCATCGCTTGCGCATGTCTCGAGCTTCTCACCTACGGAGCGTCTGTGCAGCACCGTTTGACAGAGAAATCGTGGGTGATGGATCCGGGATCAGATCATCGACGATGTGAGATGTGTCCAGGCAAATTCAGATGATGCGTTGTGGTGGGGCGGACTGCGCAAATAAATGAACGATTAAGAGATTAAATGTATGCATTGTGCACATATAGGACCTAGCCATACGTATTCATGGCCGTACAGAGCGGCTTGCACAATGTTTCGCAGGTCGATATCCGAGAAGGGTTGTGAACACCCGAAGTGCCGAGAGTCCAGGTAGCTCGTGGTAGCCCGACATGCACCACTGCATCCTAAAGGATGCAGGTAGGCGTGCAAACAATCATGTCACGTCATGTCCGTGCTGTCAAAGGTGCAAGGGGGAACCAGCTTGGCAAACCGGATGAGCTGCCGGACGTATGGAAACAGTGTAGCATGCTGGTTGTGCAGTGAAAGTATCTTCTGGTATCCTGCGGCCCCTCGGATTGTCTCGGATTCTAAAAGTCCTAACTCTGGTGACTTTTCGGCCGCGTCTGGCCTCCTCCACTCGCCTGCACATGGCCGCAAGCATGCTGTCTCTTTGGCATCTCTATGGTACCAGGCTTTCAAGCAGTGGCCTGCAGCGATTGTAGGAAATCCCCAATGCTGGAGGCGACGCGACCGCGACCTCCAATTAGAGAGTGACAAAGGCTGGCACAGCCTTCCGAGAAGGTCCTTCGAACGACGCTGCCGAGCAGAAGCCGGGGCCAGGGCAAGGGGAAGGTGTCTCAGTCTCAGTCTTCTCCGATACGACGGGCAGTCCAGGAGAAGCAAGGGCTTCAGCATGTGCTCCGCTTTGGATAGCAGATGGCAGTGCTCGCGGTGGACGGTTTGAGTAGTACCGCAAGTCCACGGTGACCTGAGCCCCCCGTGTTTCACTTTGGGCTGAAAGCAAAGGTTGCTGGAGTGTCTGATCACATCTGAGGACCTCACCAAGGGGGACATGGCCGAAACCCAAAGAGCACCGGCTTCCGGGCTCGGGCTGTCTAGCGACGGCAGGAGCATGGCACGCACGGCGAAGGTGTGGTGGCCTTTGCTCTTTCCGGTATCTCTCTAAGCAATGGCACAGCTGGACGAGGCTGCGACATCCCAGTGCCACGTCGAACTTGAACGGCGGACTTTGGCATCTCCACCTCGTTTGCAAGGGTGAAGCAGAACGAAAGCCTGCATCTCACTAGGACTTGGTGAAGGCCCTCTACTATACTAGATGACCTTTTCAATGCTACTCAGGTGGCTCTGACCCTGAATGGAGCCATGTTATGCGCAAGGGTTTCACAGTGTCGAAGTGCTTCTCAAATGACATATGTATATTTGTGTACAAATATGAGCTGTTTATACCTCCCTACCTCCCTCCCTCCCTCCCTCCCTCCCTCCCTCCCTACCTACCTACCTACCTACCTACCTACCCATTCACCCACCCACCTACCTCCCTACCTACCTGCCTACCGAGCTAGCGAGCTACTAGGCTACGGGCTACCGAGCTACCGAGATACCGAGCTACCTAGCTACCTAGCTACCTACGTACCTACCTACCTACCTTCCTACCTACCTACCTACCTGCCTACCTACCTACCTACCTACATACAACACGCTATCTATATTTATCAGTCTCTATCTACATCTAATGTATCTTTAAAGGTGGGCGGAGCAACGATTTCCCTGCCACCTGCGGTTGGCTGAAGTGAGTAGCTGAAGTTGTAAACGGAGTTCGAGATAGCCTGGCCCTGACTTGGTGTTCAAACCCACGGATCTCGTTGGACTATGACATGAAGCTTTGCAGCTTCGCGGAATGCGGCGGAAACTCATGTCGCTGACCTACCCTCGGCTTTCTGGCTGCGGATGGCTGCAGGCTGGTCTGTTGGGCCAAGTGAAATTCGTCGCACAAAACATCGGGAAGTCCGCACAGGACTGTAGGAGCGGTTCAGAGTGATTCAACGCTTGTTCTCTTGGCATCTCTTGGCAGAGGCCGTCAACACGGAGGTGCACTCGCTAAATCTTCCAAAGCACCTTTGCAAAGCCTGTTCTGGCTTCCTCAGCTGGCAATGCGACTGTGCAGGGAAAGGAGCTCCCGATGATTGAGTGTGTCTGCTTGTCTGAGTCTGGGCCCCTGAGCAGAAATAGTGCTTGCGGGGCTCACATCCACGGCGTCTTCAGAAGCGTTGAACTGCAAGATCTCGAAGAACTTCCGATGGCCCTCCAGAGGAATGCTGCAAGGCCTCACTGGCAGAGGGAGGCCCTTGAGGTGCCTTTCTGGGCTTGCCGTAGAATAGCAAGAAGCTTATGGCCCCCTTATTCCGGAGTAGGACTATGTTTAAGTCTTGCAAGGCTTTCCAAGGGGCCAGTCGAAGAGCCAAGCAATCCAAACGGTGCCCTGGCGGAAGGAGAGGATCTGCGCGAGCACGGAGGAGGGAGCAGCCTCCGAGACTGTAGCTGTCCTGACGACAAGAGCGTTTTGCCCGTAAGGGTTTTGAGGTCAGCTCATACACATTCTCTGCAAAGTCAGGGGGGCGTACAATGAAGCTCCAACATCTCCAGCACTGCGCTCGACAACTTGTGCCTGGAAGGCTGGTCTCCCACTTCAAGGGATGATGGGTTGCTGTGAACATCACAGAAAGGATTCTTAGGAAAGTCGAAAAGTCTGTGTGTGAAGGAACTTAATTTAAATTACCATAATGGGATCATAATGGGGGCAGATATATACTTAGTAAATACTAGGGTTTCCTCACTACAACAACTGAATTTAAGTGCCCTAACAGCAACCCATAATGGTCAAACAGTCAAGCGACTGTCCACGAGCACGACCACTGAACAGAGTAGCTGGCCAAACGCTAGGCATACTTAATATAATATAATACAATATATCATAACATAATATAATCTGAGTTCGGACTACTAGCACCTGCAAGGCTGTGTGCACGAGTTACCGTCATTGTGCGGCGAAATTCGTCGATTTACTCGACCAAGACCCTGACGTAAAGCCAACCCTTCTGATTCTACTGCCCAGCCTTTGCTTCCTCAGGCTCAGGTGCGTCGGAGGCTGTTGCATTGCTCTGTGTCTCAGCTGCCTTAGCTTCCAGAAGCCGCTCTAACACAAAAGCGAGCACGTGCGAGTCTTTGGAGGCACACAAAAATGCACAAAAACATCCATACTCTTACCGGCTCAAGGCGCCACTATCTCAGGTGTCGTCTCAGCCAGATCTCCATCTCTGGAGATCTGCTGCGTGTCTGGAACGTGCAGGCTGACTGCAGCTTCCTTCTCCGGAGCTTTCTCTGCCTTCTCCCGGAGCCTCCAGGGCTGCTCTGTATGCTTCGGTTGCAAGGCCACATCATGGGTGCTACAGTTCTTGTAGGGCTGATATGCCATCCGTCCTTGCTCACATAGAACCAGTATGGTTTTCGACTCGCACACTGGCACAATGCAGGCACGGATCCCTCGACAACGTCAGGGTGAAGGCTTAGGGCTAGAAGGCCATTACGGCGTTTATTTATATAGGATTTTAGAGGATCATTAGGTTTCCTACATATTCCTAAAGTTTCACGACACACTGAGCCTTCGCTTTCGTGTCTCGCTGTTCTGGTACAGGCGTGATCTGCTGGCTGCATCCTCGGTCCAGCGCTTACGAGGGAGCTTCTGTCGGCGTCTCTCCCCTGCGTTGCCGTTTGCAGCCTGCAGCCTACTCTTCTTGAGCCTGCATGTCCCTGAGCTCCGCACCGCAGCAGTTGGCTTTGACACAGGCAGCATGTCCCTGCCAGACATCTGCAAGATCACTGGTCATTGCTTCGGCTACATATTCTTGACTCTGTGCTGTATACTGTGCAACGCACATATTTGTACATACATACATACATACATACATATATATATATGTATGTATGTATGTATGTATGTATGTATGTATGTGTATGTGTGTGTGTATGTATGTATGTATGTATGTATGTATGTATGTAGGTATGTATGTAGGTATGTATGTATGTTCAAAAGGCATGACATGGCCCGGCTCCACTCCCGTCTCCGGCCTGAGCGCACTGAGTACTTTGAGCATGTCGTGCAGCGAGCTGGTTGAAGGCTCGGCAAACCACTGGCGCAGGCTTTCCGTGGCCTTCCAGGCTTCCGGGAAGATCAAGGAAAAACTCAACATGATCTGTAGCATAACACAACAGTCGAAATTAGAAATCTCCCGACTCCTCGTCGACCTCCTCCAACAGATCCCTTAGCATGGTGCGAGCTGCGTCGGCTTTTCAGGTATTCTCTCCATGGTTCGCAGTCATGTAGGGGCAGATTTCGGGTTTCGGCGCTGGCCCTCCGACCCTCTCGCAACTCGGACTCTGCAGGAGCTTCATTCGGTAAGGGGTGGGTCCTGCGGTCCTACACAATCACTCACACGCTAAAGCCCAGGAGATGCCCACAGCTCTGGGGGTATACTGATGTACGGTTTAGGGTTTAGGGTTTAGAAAACCCAGCAAGCTTCGGAAACGGCAGCTGATTTTCGGGCCCGCAGGAGTGAAAAGGACGCCGTTTTCGGAGTGTCAAGGCCTTCCATCGTCCTCCACTGGGGCACCGGGTCCAGTCCTGTTGCCGCAAGGGTTGACGCCGCCGGGCACGAGTTCGAGAGCAGCTGGAGGTTGGTGAAGTTCACGGAGGGGATGTACCCTCAGATCTCTTCCTGATACAACCGTCTAGCAAAGTCACGTCTAGCTTGGACCATTGCGCAGTGCATCTTGCAGATCTGAGATGCACGACTGCAGGAAGGTCGCTTCTGCCTCGTGTATCAGGTCACTAGCTGAGGATCCTGCAGGGCAAGGTCTACGTCCGGCATCAACTTCGAAGTGTTGAGGAAACACATCTTCGCCTAGGCATGTGGGGGCACTCCGTCCTTGGTCCTTGATCGCGGCTACCTTCTTGGATATTTCGGCCTTCTTAGCTCCCCATTGCTTGGCCAGGGTAGACTTGAGTTGGCTGTGCTCCTTGGGCACATCTGCCAAAGCTCGGGAGACAATCTTGCGCAAAGCCACGTCGCAGTGATGGCTGTCGCTCTGCGTCTCCTCAACAGCTTCCTGCAGCTCCGGCACAGGCCTCCAGAAGTCTGGGCAGCTCTGCCAGGTCTTCAGGCAGCTAAAGACCTGCTCTTCTGAGGAGGAGGAGCTGGCATCAATCGAAGTGCTGATGCCTTGAGCTTCCCAAGTTCCACCGGCTTCTGGCGGCCACTCGAAGACTTCGGCCATGTGCAGAATGGAAAACTCGGGTACTTGGGTGACAGGCTCCCGGAGTCTATTTCTCTCTAAACAAAGATCGACCGGGGCTTGCAAGAAGAGCTGGTGGTATGCACAAGACGTCTCACGGCACAGGTGGTACCACCGCTTTCTCATGCTCCGATAATACATGTTGTCATCCAAGACAATCACCATCCTCTCTTCCGAAGCAGAGCATGCTTCCAGCATGGACCGCACATCTGAGGCCACCTTGGCCCTTGCCTGCTGCCACGACTCGGGGTCAAACTTGCTCTGCTCAGACCGCATTTGCTGCTCGACCTCATCGTAGCAGAAGTGAACCCACCGTGCACCGAGGCCTCCTTGCTCGACCAGGGCGCGGGAGAAGGACGTCTTTCCAGATCCAGGTAAACCACAAACAAGAATCAAGCAGGCACGAGAAGCATCAGCAGCTTCCGCCATGAGACTCTGAACGGCGGCAGAGCGCAGGAAGGCTTGGGCCGAGGGAAGAGGCGGTGCTTTGACCCGTGAAAGATCTTCAAGGTAGGCCAAGCTGCTGCAAATGCGCAACCTTTGGATCCGCAACTTCGAGGAAACTGCTGAGCCTCGAGCAATCCCAGCAAGAGGAAGCTCTAGCTTACCATTCTGAAGGTCTCCCCTGGCCTGGCAGGGCTCGTTGCAGCTGCCTGCAGGCGCAGGATTTAGCTTTTCGGGGGTTTCTGAATGCCAAGCTTCCACCTGTGCAGAGGTGGCATCTGCCTGGAGACTCCTGGTGGCATCAAGGATGAGTCGACGACGTCACTCCAGTTGCTATGGCTTTGAGACCAGTGGCTTTTTCATCTGCCTGGTCTGCGAGGCCAATTCCTGGATCGAGGCTCTCAGCCCACATTCCTTTCAGAGGCCATCTTTCGCTCCCGTCTGGCCTGCACCAGCCCGTCCATTAGGGTGCGGTCAAAGTCTTTGGCTGCATGACCTTGATTTTTCACTCAGCCCCCAAGTTCGACCTGAGCATCATGAATTCTGGAAGTAAGCCCTCCGCAGGCGTCCAAGTCAGAAGCCAAGCTCTTCATGAAACCCTCGTTGGCCTGCGGCTTCTCCCATGTGACGACTCTGGTCACCATGGGCCCTCAGCGATGACTGGTATCATCCCCTAAATTCCACCCCCTGAAGCCAAGATGCCTCGTCCAGGTGGCAGGCAAGCACTTCTAGCGCGCTTTCAGCCCCTGGGCAGATTCAGGCCAGCATGAAGCTTTGCTATTTAGCTTGGCTTCATCATTGTGCATTCTGCAACAAAGACAGTGTAGAACGAGTGTTGTCTACTGGCTTAATATTAATTGTGCGAGAACTAGGAAGAAGACACCAAGTAGTGAAGATGAGTGTAGATTTTCTTACAGCTGTGCGTCTCTTGGCCCACCACATCATACAAATGTATTTATGTAGGTTGCGGGTGCTTGGTTTGAGTTGCTATCATGACCTACACCCAGCACTGGAAAGATCTTGACCCAGGGACTTCGAAGTCGTAGCACGACCTCCCCAGGCAGGGTGTGACACTCTGAGTCTCCAAAATATGCTCAAACCTTCGCACATGATGACCTGCATCCCCATCATCCGATCACCGTGGCGTGCTGTTCGCCAGTTTGGGGAAGTATGAGAGGAATTCAACAGAGCTGAGTTGCTGAATCGGTTGGGCATCTTTCTCTGCCTTTGATCAAGCATCACGGCAGTTTCTCAACATTGCCTTTGAACCTAGGGCTGTGTGCGCCGCAAATCCGTCGCGCCGGCCCGCTGTACAATCCAAGCTTGTCCGGGGTCATCTAAGTAGACTAAGTAGACCTCGAACTTTTTGACACATAGGTCTACAGGTAGCGTTCAGGACATCTCATGGTCGAGTAAACCTATTCTGCTGACAGCCTGACAGTTGGAGCTCAAACTATCAAGGCGTTCAGCTGAACGTTTGCCCAAGCCTTCGAGCGTTCATATAGCACCGGGCCCATGCTAGGCTCGAAACCATGAGTCACGATGCTATCCGGCTCGCAAGACTTGATCCGGGAGTAGTAGGCACCAGAATCCGTCGCCCTGAGAGCACACACTGTGGTAATTGCAGCTCCTTCTTCGGGTGTGAAGGGACATGGGTATCCAGCCTGCATTCGGCACTTTCTCTTGGCGACAGGGCTATCCATCTTGATAGATCTGGTCAGCGATGTATTTACCCAGCCAGGAGTAAGGGAGAAAACCTGCAGATGACTTAGAGCCTCCCGTCGGGAGAGTTCCCTTGCGTGCTCCATAAGAAGGAACTTCGAGAAACCGTAGAGCTCAAGTGGTCGCACCTCCTGGCCATCCTTGTGATGAATGGTTACATTCCGCGTAGGCACGACCGGCGGAGGTGGCAAGTACCTGAAGTCTGACAGGCAGCCCTCAGCCCAACCGGCGGCCTCACACGCGATGCGGTGCTCTGTGCTTGCAACGTGAACAACTCGTGCTGGGCGATCGCTCGTACCAGCAAGTCGCAAAGCAGGCAAGAGCAACTCCGTGAGCAGAAAGTGGCTCAGATAGTTCACTTGGAAGAGCATCTGGAACCCATCCACCGTCGCTTCTGCAGGGTTACCTGCCATCCCAGCATTGTTCACCAAAATATGCAGTTGAGAGAAGGTGGACAGGAATCGCATCGCAAAGGAGCGCACTGAAGCAAATGATGAAAGGTCCAGAAGCATTCCAGTCACGTTGGCGCCTGTTTCACGCGACACTTTCGCTGCGAGTGCTGTGCACTTGCTCAAGTTGTGGCTGGCAATGATGACGGTTGCCCCCTGCTCTGCGAAGGCAGTGACAACAGGCATGCCCAACTCGCTGTCGCCTCCGGTGATGACAGCGACTTGGCCGGAGAGGTTCACATCACGGGCCACATCGCTTGCCGTCGTTCGGCTGGAGCAGAGCTCAGCATGAGCTGCGACAAAGGCAGAGAGCACAGCGAACCCGAAGAGACTCCTCATCACCAGTAGCTACGGCAAGAATCCTGCGAGTCTGGAGCTTGGACCGAAGTCAGCACTCTTCCACGCAATCTGACGTTTCTCTCCTCACCGACACGAGCAGCAGATTGTGAGCATCCAGTCCATGCAGGGTATATTGGAGAGTCTTTGATGAAGCTTGCCGTAAGATAGAGTAACTCGACTTTATTACAAGTACCTATCGCAGCACTTTTCCTCGCACCCTCAGAAAGGGTGATACATCGGCATGTGTCTGTTATCTTGTTACACACGCGTGTGTGTGTGTGTTTTTGTATGCGTGTACGTGTGTATGTATGTAAGTACATACGTACGTACGAACGAACGTACGTATGTATGTTTGTATTTGTGCATGTATGTGTACTTATGTATGTGTGTAGGTATGCATGTAAAAATATGTGTATGTGTGTATATATAGATGTATAATACTGATTTTGGTGAAAGCCACAAAGTTGGAACACACACACACACACGCACACACACACGCACCCCACCCGATCTGTACGTACACCTCTTTCAAGTTTATGATGTTCCAAGTTTCGCTTCTTGTTTCAATCTTGAAATCTCCAATGTCCCAACTTTGAAATTTGAGTTGTGACTCACTGACTCACTCACTGACTGGCCTCCCATTTGACCCCAGTTTAGCCTTCCATTTCCCTCTCGTTTGACCCATTTCCCTCCCACTTGACTCTCTAATTCGATCTCAATTTGGACTCTCATTTCTCCTTCCATTTGACCTCCCACTTCGCCTCCCATTTGACTTCCAATCTGGATTCCAAGTTGGTCTTCCATTTGAGCAGGTTTCGAAGCTCCACCAAGACCTAAGACATGCCGAGAGTGCCAGATCAGGATACCGAGGTCGACATGGACACCGTTCAGATCGTTGTTGGGCAGGTCAGTTTTGCCGGTGGGGCCGGACTATCGATTTCAGTCTGAATATCAGCAATTCCAGTCCTTCGAGGTTTCTCGGTGTTTAAGTTGCTGACGATCTACTCAGGTCCGATCGCTCCGGCTCAATGCTATTGCTAGGTAGCTGCTGGGGTTGGATGGCTGGCTTTATCCTCAGGCGAACCGTCAAGTTCAATTGGAGCCGAATGGTGCAGCCGTGATGCTGGCAGAAGCCTTCTTGCTCTTGTTTCCTGCCTGCCAAGGCTTAGAACATGTGATTTCCTGTGCATGACGCATCAGGCGTGCATCGCCAGCAGTTTCTGGACCCGCTCGCCTGCCTGCTTGGCTGGTAAACATCGGGTGTGGGCCAGCTTGGTCAAGGAGTCCAAGGTTACCCCAACGGCTCCGCCCAAGTTCTTGGACGAAGCATTGACAGAGTTGCCTTTGGTTGCGAGAGCTTGGAAGCACGGAAGGATGCCTCTAGTCACTCGTCAACTTCGGAAAGCATGGCCTAGGAGAAGAATTCCTTCCAGGAGGATGGGAACAGCTCGAGAATCGAGGATGCTCCAAGCAGCCGACAGCGCCAAATCTAGCCTAGGCGAGCTTCGATGTTCCCAAACAGGATACATAGCCACAAAGACGGACCAGGCTTGAAGGTGAGGCAGGAGCCCACTCTCTAAATCAGCCGCCTTAAGCGGGAAGCGGGCAATGTCCAAGCATAACCTGTCAGACAGTGACAGTTCTCCATGCGAGGTGTGGGCGCCCTAGGTCTCTCGGTTAGAAAACAGGACCCCTGACGTAGACCTCCACCACCAAGTAAAAAAAAGACGTGTCTCTCTGGGCTGCTTGTGAAGGTGCTTGAGCCAAGGAGCTGTACACGACACTGCAGCTCTTGCAGTGGGACACTTTGTAGGATCTGGCGGAGGAATATCTCCGACTGCACACCATCCTGCCAGGCGAAACTAGCGCTGACTTTTAGGGTTTAGGGTTTAGGGGCTTTAGGGCTTTAGGGGTTATGGTTTAGGGTTTAGGGTGATGGTGTCGCTTCTGGGCTTCTTCCGCGCTCTCGCGCCTTCAGGGACTGACCAGCAGCAGTCAGGCTGCGCTCCTCCAAATCTCGGGTCTGCTGGGCTCATGCAAGGTTTCGGCCACGGACCAGTGCTTAGGCACGAGGGAAGGCGCTAAAGTTGCATCTCAGGAATCTCAGGCCAGTCCTCTCCAACTGCAGCACCCAAAAGGCCCAGCAAGGCTTCAAGCAGTTCCTGCCAAACTGTGTGCCGCGCTTCTATCCGTATTACGGGCACCTGCCCATTTTGCATTTCGCTTCATGGCCACCTGCTCTTGCACGTCAGTGTCATCACATGTTGCCATTTTGCGATGCTTCCTTGAAGCCTGCTGGAATAAGCAGCCTCAACTGCCACTTTGGGCAGTCCTTGTCATGCCTGCTTTGGCATTCCATAGCTACTTCCGTGAGGTGACAAGTCTGTACACTGCCGCCCACAGGATCAGCCAAACAGATCCCACAGCTGCATCCTGAGCTTCGCAAATTGCAACGCTGGAGCGAGGTCCCATGCCAGGATGATTGCGTTAGTGGCCTCTGCTTCCACATTATACATACACATGGAGTAACAGCATATGTGTGTGCAAAGTTGTGTAATTACACATGTACATGGAACAATGTTGTTTGTGCACACATGACTTATGAGTGCAGACATGCATGAATTGATGCGCACACATCCCTAAATCGACTTACATCCACACGCGTGAGCAACGCAACCCTCTGCAGAGGCCAGGCGGCCAAGAGAAACGACCGCCGGAAGCCGAGGCCAGCAGGAGGCAGCTGAGAGATGAAACCCCAAATCAGAGATCCAATGGCGAAGGCGACATTGAAGTAGACGCCTGAAGTGCGCACCAACAAGTTTCAGTGAAGGGCTCTATAAGGTGCCACGGAGTGAGAGCGGTGTCAGTAACCACAACCGAGCCAGTAGCTAGATTAGGACTACGACGCTCTGTTGAGGCCAGGTGCCGCTAATAAGTGCTTGCATCTTGGCCTCTGTGCCGGTCTTGGCCAGACGACGCGCATATTCCACCGTTGCGGTCCAAACACCCGCAAACGTGAGACCATGCAAGGGTTCTACGAGAAGGACCAGCCACGGCCTGAGTGACAAGAGATGACAAAAGCTGATTTGCAAGCACCTTCGACAGGAAGAACTGCCTCGTAACCATTCTTGGGGCTCACAGGGCTCAACCGGATTTGAAAAGACCCAGACTATTGGTGCTAGCGGCCGGCTTCGTGGTAGGCTTGCGTAGAGCAGGCAGCGCAGCACCATGACCTGCCAACTGGAACGCACCAGGGTGTAGGGTTCAGAGTGTGGTAACGTCATGGGTGCTCGCTGGTGCACGCCCAGGCCGCTTGTATTTGTGCGTAGCAGACACCCAGTTCAACAATTCTAGGGTTTAGTTCTAAAGTCTCCTAGGCATTCCTGCGGGGGCTTTGGCATCGCTGACGATGATCGTTATCTTCAACGGGGCCCAGGCAGAATCGAAACCAGCATTGCATGGCTTTCTGTGCGTCTGTCCCTTTCTGGGTTGGGCTCTTATGTGGACTTTCTGCAAAGGCTGTCCTGGCGGGTGCCGGAAGAAGCAGGGGGTTTTCTGTGAGGGGGCGCTGCCTCGAAATGGGGGGAACCCGATCGGCCGGCTCCAACTCGTGAAGGGTTCGGGGGGTGCAACCCTTGTCAAGACGACAGCTCGGGCCGCTTCGGGCTCCGCGGTGGCGGTTGTCGAGCCTCTTTAGGGTTTTTTTTTTGACACTCACACTCGGACAAGCCTGGCAAGGTCAATACTGTTCCAACGACACATTACATTGACCACCTACTTGGCCCGTATCACCAAGCAGGGCGCGCTGTCAGGAAGAGCTCGGAAGACGACAACCCCAATTTACGGTCTTTTACATTCGAGGAGGCAGGTTCATGTTGGTTCGGAGTCAAGGTGAACATCATCAACGAGCTGCGAAGCAACTTCTAATTCAAGGCTTTCGGTAAGTACTCATTGAACAACAGCGCCTTTGACGTGATTCCTGTGTTCATGTCGGGGAGGGGATCCGACGGGACCCGGGGTGTATGCCTAAGCCTTGGGACCTGAGCCAAGAAGTCTTGAGCCAGGGGGCCTAGCTGGGTTTAGGATAAAACCCGGGCCATCTGCGTAGAATGACCGAGGCCACGGCAAACTCCGATGCCCAAAGCACCGAGACCAAGCTGTAGCCCCGCTTGCTCCAAAGGTCACCAATGTACTTGAAAACCGGTATCTCAAAGGAGCACATGACCTTATCCAATCTGTGAAGCTGAGATCTGAGAGCCTAAAACGAGCCAACCACACCAGTACCCGAAACATCCCGAAACCCTGAACCAATACAAGCACGCCGCAGCAGTGGCTGCCCCGAGGATTACTCTTGGAACGTTGTCGAAATCCTGCACAAGGAAAACCTGAGCAAGTGAGCACATCAAAGGCATCACCACAAGCAAGAAAAAAGTAAACCTGCCGGATGCGTACATCGCTGTCCTTGTGACGCACATCACGTGCTGTTGCTTCGACCTTGCCCGATCGAGCAGCATTCAAGTAGTTCTCCACCAAAGAGGTCAGGAGACCATACACGAACAAGTTGATCAGCATCCAGATGGGCTCGAATCTGGCAAGATCGGCAAGCCACTCGCGGGTCGACATCTTCTTCACGCTGCTGCCTTGATGCCCCCGGGGCCCCGCGGGGATATCCTGTACGAAAAGCTGCACCACGAGGACGTTCAGGCCGACCAAGAAGCCGTAAGAGAGGAAGATCGCATTGGTTCCGAAGACATCGATCAGCTTTCCGGCAATCAAGGCCATGGCTCCCCAACCGACAGCACTCCAGAGTCGTTGATCTCCGTAGGCCTCCGAGGAGCCTTCTTTCGACCTCCGGGGTTCGTCCGTGGACAGGTCGGGGACATGGCTTCGGGCTTTTTAAAATATCCCACAACAGGGCCTCTGGGCCAAGACCTTCAGACACAAACCATCCACGATGGGACCGGCCGGGGCCGTCACGAATCCCTGGAGCAGTGTGACCAGCACCAGTAGGGGAAGGCTCCGGCCGACTGCCGGTAGCATGTAGGAAAAAACTGTTGCTACGCCGAGCGAGCTTGTGAAGGTGAGTATGCTTCGGTAGGAACCTGATCGGTCCACGATCGAAGACCAGAAGAATCCTCCGACAAAGGCCATCATTGGTATCATCACCAACAGCAAGCCCATCACTTTGCGGCTTAAGCCCAGGTCGTGGTAATACACGGTGATGAACCGAGTCAGGCATACATTTGCGCCAAAGAGAAGCATTTGAGTGATTTTGAGTACCCAGAGAGGTGTGACTTCGACACGCCCCTGGCCCTTTGAATCTGCGCTCCTGCAACAAGACTGAAGCTTCTAGAGCCACTGCCAAGGCTTCACTTTGAAGGCGCTACAAAGACGAACTCTAAGCTCCAAAACTCCAATGCTCCAAGTTTGCACGAGAATCTGCTTTGGAGACTCCGCAGAGGTGTGGCAGGCAGTCCGAGGACGAGCTGGCGGTCGCAACTTCGGGCCTACACAGCTTCCAAGGCGGCCAGAGACAAAGGCCTTAGCTGCTCCGACCCTTACAACTTGGCAAACTCTTGGCGAGGCTGTGTTGCGGGCAAGTCAGCCACCACAGAACCGGGACCTAACAGCAACTTGGCAGCTTAGCACAGGAGTTGGCTTAAGCAAAATATCTACTCGGAGCGCCGGGCAGACCTGGCAACTATCGATGTAAGCACACTCAAGGTTCCTTGCATGACTAATCCTTGGCTATCCTCCGTCCTGCTCAGGATCGTGCTTTGGGCGCTTCCACGCGCTATATATCTCTTGTCACTGTCATGAATATACATTTCAGTGTACCTGTTGTCCACAAACTTGACAATCAAAACCGAAATCGAGGTATTGAAGGGCTTCCGATGCCTCGAATCAGAGCTCTCCCCTCCTGGCACCACCCAGCACCCGACTTAGGGTTTAGGGGTTTCGCTGACTTTTCCACCCAAGATGCGCTGGCGCCACGTTTTAGCGGCAGATTTCTTACATCGCCGGGTGCCAAAAAACCGAGGAAACAGAGCCCTCCCAGCAGCGCCAGCCCCCTGAGCCGCTCCGCAGGCTTCCAGGCCACCATGGCTCCAAGGGAAAAAAGTCTGAAAAAGGAAAGTTGAAGATAGCTGGGCTAAGGACTGTAAGATGATATACCGTGTAGATATACCAGAATATCATGGTATGATCTGGTAATATTCCACAAATATGCTATATTATATGACAACAAGCATATAATATGTACCTTAATGGGGTGTAGGCTTGCTTGAAGCTTAAGAAAGAGAGCGTCCGTCTGGTTGTGACAGCCTCACATAAGACTTTGGTACTCGTGATTGCAAGCTGTAGGCATCCAGAATCAGAAAGGAACGCCCCAGAAATCGTGGCTACGGAGAGTGGCTACAAACACTCTCGAGTGGCTACACACAAGTGCACACCTGTCCTCCGGCAGAGCATCCTCCACATCGTCCTCCTGTGCAAGGCGCCAGCAATCCAGCCGATCTGAGCTCTGCGAGCGCTTGCCAAGCAACTCGTGGACTGATTCGGTTGTGCTTAAACGTTGCACCTGCAACTCTTCAAAGATCATGGGGAATCTGCTTCTGTAATTCACCAATCGTTGTCTTATCTCTCGGCACCAGCTGCCACACAGCCCCGATTGCATGGCCTGCGTTTCTGCTTCGCCGCTGGGTCCAATGATCCACTTGAGGTCGAGGACGTTTCGAATGCCCTGTCACCGGGGCACATGGTGGCTTCTGACATGTCGTGCTAGTGGAAAAACGCAGAGAGTGTATGGAACATGAGCTCAATTTTTACATGCATGCATGCCTGCATGCACACAGGCAGACATACCTGCATGCAGCAATGGATGCATATCAATTTGCAAAACTTGGCTGTGCAAGACTTCGTCATGCTCTGATGCACTCTCCACAAGATTCCCTGCCCTGGCCTTCCTCGTCAAGAGGGCATGGTGGATGTCAGCAACCTCGAAAGTTCTTACTCTGTGTAAGTCCTGTCTGTCAGTCTCGACATACAGAAAGTCCGGCTTGTCACGCTGAGCTCTTGGCCAAACCTTGCTTGGAGGGAAGCAGCCGTTTGGTTGCGGCCGACTTCTTCCTAAGGGCTCGATCTCAGAGCAAAGGAGTCAACCTCACCCGGTCGGCGGCATAAAGTCTCATCAGTCCAGGGCTCTGCTCGGTGCTCTTCTTCTGGGTCGCCTGAAGTGCAATCACCCCCGAGGGCCAAGTAAGCCGCCAGCCGACGGCGCGTTGCCCCCTGCGCCTCAGATGCCTTGCGCATGAAGCGTCCAAGCAGGTCTTCCGGGAGTTGGGCGGCCTGAAAACCACGCAAGCCAGAATGCGAGATGGCACACCTGTAGTCGAGCAGGTTTGCTCAGAAATTAAGGTTGCAGCACCGCCCTGCAAAGAGTCGTGGACCTGCTGCCACACCTCGTTTGGACGCGGCAGGAGCTTGATTAGTCCTTGATGCCAACCCTTCTTCAGCTGCAGCTGTTCGTCCCATCCCCCAGCCGAGCACCGCGCGGAGCCCTGAATTCGGCTCGTCTGACGAATGGGCTGCCAGTTGACCATCTTAGCCACTGATTCGGCTTTTCCCTCCCACTGTGTTCGCATCAACGTGCACTGCTGATGCTCGTAGATAGGATGCCCACGCGCTCGGGCTGCCTGGAGTTCGAAAAGAAGCTTCTTACACGAGTCTAAAAGCACAAAGGCTAGGCTTGGCTTGATTGCTGCGAAAGGCACCATTCTGCCGAGATATCGGGCTTTTGCCACGACGGCAATGGTGAGGATGCCTGCTCAGGAAAAGATTGGATTTTCGCGCCACTAGCACGCGCTTGGGTCGATAACGACTACTGGAACGTGAGTGTTTTTGCCCTTGCTTACATCTTGCATTGAATGGTAGCCTGTCGTACCATATACTACACTATACTACACCATACTATATAGACTATATGGTGCTTTTGCCTCCCGCCTGGCGGGGCAAAAACTACCATATAGTCTATGTACTATATTACTATATATATATGTATATATAT